CGACCGAACGTAACGTAACGTACGTACGTAAGTAAGTATAATATATATATATATATATATATATATATATATATATATATATATATATATATATATATATATATATATATATATATGTATATGTGTATATATGTATATATATATAAATATAGTATATATATATATATATATATATATGTTGTATATATAATTGTGTTCCTATATATGCGGCCTCCTTCGTTCAATAGGCTAGAGATATCCTGTGCAGAACATCACACGTTTGTAATTTCTATATACCCCGAGTGCCATCACACCTTCCTAGATACACTAGTCAGATACATCGCCTAAACGTTGAAGAAACCAAAGCTGCAATCCACACCCAGTCGTCCTGATCTATACCTACTAACGCTAGCCCGTTTTTAATCACTGCCTGTTCAACTGCTGACATGCGTATCGTCTCGTTCTCGAAACTTCCCGCAGCGTGTCGTCGCACGCCACATACGTTATCAAAGCGTTAAATGAACTGGGCATATACTACATAATAGACGCAGGCACGCTCCTGGGAAGTTATCGTCACGGCGGGTTTATCCCCCACGACAAGGACGTGGACATTGTCGTACCCATCCGTCGCAACGTGCACTTCTTTGGTAGTGAGCACTCGTGCCCCGGTAAGTCTTTGAATATAAATATGTAGATATTGTTATGTAGTTTGCATTTTGTTTTATAGTTAAATTATACACTTGGTTATATGAACATAGTTATGTAGATATTGTTATGTAGTTTGTATAAATATTATGTAGTGGGTATAAATAATGCAAATATAAATATTGTCGCATGGCTACACCTGCCAACAATATCCGCTTCTAGTCCAAAAGGGGTTTAATTTCTTAATGAAAACCCTGAAACCCTAAAACCCTATTGTAGAGTGCGGTGTAAGGCGGAGAGTCACACTTGAGCATCTCCTCTCACACATACCCATACCTACACGCGAGTCTCGACTATGGAGAAGACTGCTCGGCTGAATGTTTCACAACAATCTCTCTGCCCACATAGCAGTTCCTTTCACACTTGGTTGTCTGAGAATTGGGAAAGATGTTTAGTTACTCACCCGAATTCACCCCCCCCCACCACACACACCACACACACACATACACATTTACAGTACGTTTTGTTTTACGTACAAGTATCTCTAGCTGAGAAGTTATGTTGACCCCACTTCATTTCGCAATCACGTACTCGTCCCCTTCTAATTGCCTCCCCACCGGCCTTGTCCCAGAAATGGAAGAAGGGCCCAGCGAAGACCCGTACACGGAGGTGTGTAGTTGGCTATTGTAGCGTACAAGCATGACAGTCTACGACTGCGCTCGCTGCCGATGTCTAATGCTGAATCATTGAAGCTGTTTGTTTGCCTGGTTCTATGTATTCTATTTATGCTCCTGCCTGACCCATCCCGTCGTTCCCATTGGTTCTGCCTCCAATTTTGGTCTCGAAAAAGTATTTCCGCTCTCTCACTGGTCAATATTTCTTGCACCCATTGACCCTATGCAGCATGTGAAAGACACGTCCACACTGTGCGGCAAGACTCCCTCCGACTGGGCCAAAATTTTCTACCCCTTACTGCAGGCTGCGCTCAACAGCACTGGTATCACTCCTAGGTATGCCAGGGACATATATATATATATA